GCACATCCAGGTTGGAGGAGGCCCATGCACATAAGCTATTTCTGGCGCTCCTCCGACCCGGACGTGTGCCAGAAATAGCATGTGCACACGCGTATGGGCACACGCTCCTCCGGCCTCCAGCCCACTGCGCGATCGGCACTGGAGACACCAGCCTGAGGCGCGTTAAGTTTGCTGACCTCTGATCTAGTCCATTAATCTTCCAACTGCAGGGCCAAGGTGTCTCATAACCAGTCCACAGTGTCTCATAACCAGATCATGATGCCCTGATATAATGCAAGCTCACTGCCATCAAGCTGACACCAGATTCTCAGACAGCTGCCACAACAGATGCAGTGTTATGCCAGTTTATCCAGTCATCCTTTGAGATAAGATTATTATCCGGCAGCTGCCGCAACAGATGTACCTGACACAGCTTGCTGCAGCCACCACAACCTTTTATCATCCTTATTATTATTTCACAACACATACAAAGGTGGTTTTAATAAAAGTTAAGAAAGAGGAAAAGAGAAAAAAGGAAAAACCCCAAAAGATACAGTATATTACTATAACAATTGTTAACCATTAACCATTGCAATTTTGATGTGTGAATCATGGGCACCACAACCTTTTATCATCCTTATTATTATTTCACAACACATGCACACAAGCCATTTGCACCTTTGGGCCAATTGTTGCATAGGAAAAGGAATTCCTCTACTTTGGACATGTACCAACAAGCGGCAGGTGAGCCTCGTATATACAGGATACCCCTGGCATATTATTCATAAAGTCCGGGGGGAAGCAGATGCAGGTGACAGATGGGACCTTGTTGTACCCCAAAGCAAAATACCACAAAAACGTATTGCCTGTTCTTTTGAGTTTACCCCACAGATGATGGAGGTAAGTATCTGTTATGTACTGAGTTGAATAGGATCCAAACTGCAGCAGTCTGATTGGTCCTAGAACAATAGGATCCAAAATGCAGCATTCTGATTGGTCCTAGAACAATGCAGCAGTATGATTGGTTGGCAGGAACCACCCAATCATGGTCCAGATAGAAGTGAATCCACAACCTGATTGGCTTACAGTAGAATTCCGGAATTAGCCAATCATGTGCAGCCCATTGTGTAAATAATGTACTGTATATAAAGCAGATACTTTGAGGGGACATTCATTCATTCATTCCTCCTCACCACTATGAGCTGAATAAAGAGCATGAAATCACTTTGCGACTCTGAGTATATTTCAGAATCATAAACAGATACTGGGGCATTGTATCTCAGATTGAAGGTCGTGATCTCCAGAAATGCGATTCATTTAATCAAATGCACTTGTCAGTTGATATACATTGGTGCCACCACCCGCCCTATTAAGACTCGTATGTTAGGACACTGATCCCACATTAGAGGCAAAATTAGAGAGGCTCCGCTGGTTGAAGACTTTATTGAACAAAAGCACACTTGTGATGACTCTTGCTTTTTGGTTGCAAAGCACATATCTCCAACCAGTGGAGTCACTGGTGTTAATGTGTCCAGATTCCTTTCCCAGATGGAGTCCAAAAATATTTATAAACTCAATACACTAGTTCCACGTGGATTAAGTTCAACACTAGAGTTTGCAGGATTCATGTAACTGCTTGCAGCTGTGTCTGTGGTCTTTCCGCCGCTGTGCCTTTAAATGTGTGAGCCCTATCCATGTTTGATAAGGACATTTAACAAACTGAAGGGCATTGTCTTCTCTATGCTCCTCCGGATTGGAAACATGAAGATGGGAACAGGCAAGTTTCTATAGAGATTTTTTGTATTAGTGGGACTGAGGATATTAACTATGTATGTACGAATAGACTAGTTATTGTCTCACCTTTATTCTTGTAGATATACCCCTGCTTTAAGTCGTTTACATACTGTCTTCTCTTGCATATTATTTACTGCAAAGGTATATCTTAATTATGCATTCTCAACTTATTTTTAATTTTCCTTATTCTATTTATTAATTCAGTGCAATTCTGTTACAATTGATTTTGACAGTTTGAAGACAAGGTCTTTAGCGATGAAACGTCTGATTACCGGAACGACGTCCGAGTACTGGACCATTGGTATATCACAACTGGACTCTTTATTCCTGTTTCAGGAATATTTTTGGCTATTTTTGGTCATCTGCATACTATCCCTTGCTTTTTCCTGTAGGACTAATTACCATACCTATTGAGTCAATCACCTATCTCCTACTTCCCTCCTGAGAAAAACCCACCCCACCCTCCCGCTATATATAAGGGTCTGGTGACATCTGTTTCAGTGTATCTGAAGAAGTGTGCATGCACATGAAAGCTTATACCTGGAACAAACTTAGTTGGTCTCTAAGGTGCTACTGGACAATTTTTAATTTTTTTGCTCTATTCCTGTGTTTGCAATTCTTCAAGATAAAATCTATTTTGGAAATAAATGAGCACCGAACCACTGATATATTACAAGTGAACTCTTTATTTACTGTGTTTGCTATTGTTTAAGACAAAACCTTTTTTGGAATGACATTACAGTGGTACCTTGGTTCTCAAATGCCTTGGTTCCCAAACACCAAAAACCCAGAAGTGTTCCAGTTTTCGAACATTTTTCAGAAGCCGAACGTCTGATGCGGCTGTCGTCTATTGTTTCTGGGGTGCCTGCACCAATCAGAAGCTGCACCTTGATTTTCAAACATTTCGGAAGTCAAATGGACTTCCGGAATGGATTAAGTTTGGCACTTGTTTTTGCTATTTATTTTACGTTTTTGTTTTTGAGGCTTTTTCGGTTAATTTGTTTTTGTGACTGTGTGGAACCCAGTTCAACTACTGATTGATTGTGACTGCAGAAATGGATAAAAGTCGCCCCATCCAAACAATGACTATCATCAGTACAGATAAGAAAATAATATTTATTTATTTTTATCTACAATACTCTTATTTTATAGTACAGTACATTGAGTATTGCTTTCATTTTATGGATCAATGGCCTCGACAGATAGTAAAATTCATGTTAAATTGCTGTTTTAGGGGTTGTTTTTAAAAATCTGGAATGGATTTATCCGTTTTGCATTACTTTCTATGGAGAAGTGTGCCTTGGTTTTGGAATGCTTTGGTTTTGGAACGGACTTCTGGAACGGATTTTGAGAACCAAGGTACCACTGTACTCTTGCCATTTTTATGGATGTTTATTGTTGGTTCACAGATAGTTGCGTTGCTGATATTATCTTGTGTCAAACTTGTTATGGGGGAACAGAACCTCAGATGTATACTCATTCGCATAGATTTTGGGGGAGCGCCCCTCCCCGCACCTTCACTATGCCCATGACTACAGCAATTACAGCCCCCGTAATCTCAACTCTTTTCCCAATCTTCAGGAGGGTGCACCCTTTTCAGTGACCCAACGACCTCCTTTTGCGGACCTAAGCAAATCTGGGCAACGGGGGTGCAAAGTTTTCAGAAATGGGGGAGCAGACCCCCCCAAAAAACCTAGCCTACTGAATCAGAAGAATCAGTATTTACATCAGCCACTGAGCCATAGCCATACAATAAAATAAAACGTACTGAAGATAGAGGTAAAAACTTAACAATAGAAAGTACATGTGAGGGGGGGTGTTCAATAATCAAATAGTAGATCTACCGGTAATTCTAATTCTAACCTTGCAGTTTTTGCTGTCACCTGATCACCCTGATCTGCTAAAAGACAGGACACAGGAGGGATCAGTTGAGCAACCCGGCACGAACAATAATACAGTGGTACCTCTAGATGCGAACGGGGATCCGTTCCGGATCTAGAAGCAAACGTAACCTGTGTCCGTGCGTCTGCGGGTCACGTTTAGGCGCTTCTACGCATGACGTCATTTTGAGCGTCTGCGCATGCCACGGAGCGCAACTCGAATGCGCTCATCCCGAAGCACATTCAACCCGAGGTATGACTGTAGAGGAGTAAAGGGACCCCTGACCATTAAGTCCAGTCGTGACCGACTCTGGGGTTGCGGCGCTCATCTCGCTCTATAGGCTGAGGGAGCCGGCGTTTGTCCGCAGACAGCTTCTGGGTCATGTGGCCAGCATGACTAAGCCGCTTCTGGCTAACCAGAGCAGCACATGGAAACACCGTTTACCTTCCCGCTGGAGCGGTACCTATTTATCTACTTGCACTTTGATGTGCTTTCGAACTGCTAGGTTGGCAGGAGCAGGGACCAAGCAATGGGAGCTCACCCCATTGCGGAGATTTGAACCGCCGACCTTCTGATCTGCAAGTCCTAGGCTCTGTGGTTTAACCCACAGCGCCACCCGCGTCCCAGTGGCCTGGGCGCTGCAGGAGTAATAACCTCAAATATTTATAAATACAGTGGTACCTCGGGTTAAGAACTTAATTCGTTCTGGAGGTCCGTTCTTAACCTGAAACTGTTCTTAACCTGAAGCACCACTTTAGCTAATGGGGTCTCCTGCTGCCACCTCGCTGCCGGAGCACCATTTCTGTTCTCATCCTGAAGCAAAGTTCTTAACCCGAGGTACTATTTCTGGGTTAGCGGAGTCTGTAACCTGAAGCATATGTAACCTGAAGCGTCTGTGAGTACTTAATTTGTTCCGGAGGTCTGTACTTAACCTGAAACTGTTCTTAACCTGAAGCACCACTTTAGCTAATGGGGCCTCCTGCTGCCGCCGGAGCACGATTTCTGTTCTTATTCTGAAGCAAAGTTCTTAACCCGAGGTACTATTTCTGGGTTAGCGGAGTCTGTAACCTGAAGCGTATGTAACCTGAAGCGTATGTAACCCGAGGTACCACTGTCATAACGTGAGGCAAGCGCACCTTTCCCCAAAAAAGACCCCGGGCCTAATGCTGAATGCTGTGCACGCTCCGCGCCCCCTTTGCGGGTTGCAGCGCGCGCGCGCCGCGCCTTCCACGGCGGCGCGCTCCGGCCTGGCTCCCGCGCGCGCGCGTCCCGCCCGCCCTTGTGACGCCGCGCGCCCGCTCGGCCACTCGCTCGCTGGGTGCCGGCGGTGCCCTGGGCGGGCGCGGCGGCGGCGGCGGCGGCGTCCTGGGCGGGGATGGCCACGCCCGGAGCCCCCGCCCGGACACCTTCTTCCCGCGGGGTTGGCCTGGCGGCGGGGAGGGGTCCGGGGCCGGCTCCCCTTTTCTTCCCCCGCTGGCTCCCGGGCGCGCAGAGCTGAGCCGCGCCGCCGGGCGCCATGGAGACGTCGGCCTGGGCGCTGCGCTGCTCGAGGGCCTTTTGGCGGCGCGTCTCCGGCCCGCAGGAGCAGCGGCTGCTGGAGGGGATGAGCTACGGGATGGTGGGCAGCATGGCGCTGGCCATGCTGGCCACCCGCTACCTGAAGATCCCCTACGGGCGCTACGCCTCGTCCGCCTACGGGCCGCCCATCCCGGCCAAGGTGGCCTGGGCGCTGCAGGAGGCGCCCGCCTTGCTCGTGCCGATGGGGCTGGTCTGGGGCAGCGACGGCGCCCGGCTCGGCTTCTGGCCCAACCGCTTCCTCCTGGCCCTCTTCGGCATCCATTACACGTACAGGTGAGCACGGCCGGCGCAGGTGGGGGGGTTGGCCTTCCCCGGACCTGGAGGACCCGGGGAAGGAGCCCGGCAGCGAATTCCCCGCCGGGGTTGTTCCCTTCTTCCTCCGGCTGGATGAAATCGGCGTGCTGAAAATAGAGGTAAAAACTTAACAATAGAAAATACATTTTTTTTGGGGTGGTGGTTTCAATAATCAAAGATTGAAGAATCAATCTTCGGGAGGGTGCACCCTTTTCCTAACCAGAATGGGCAACCACCACCATGCACAATACATTTTGGGGGGTTCAATAATCAAAGATTGAAGAATCAATCTTCGGGAGGGTGCACCCTTTCCTAACCAGAATGGGCAACAACCACCATGCACAAAAGGGAAGCATCAGCATGGGTTTGGTTTTTTTTTTTGTCTTTTTTTAGAAGTGCAAAGAGGGAAAAAAGTGATGGGGAAACCCCTCTGCCATGTGCACCCCCACAAAAAAAAGACCCCGGGCTAATGGCGAGATATGGCATGTGGGGGTGCAAAGTTTTCGGAAAGAGAAAAAAAAATGGTGCTGGGAAGCGAAGTCCCCCCCCCCCAAAAAACCTATCCTACTGAATCAGAATCAGAAGAATCAGTATTTGCATCAGCCACGAGCCATAGCAATACAGTAAAATAAAACGTACTGAAGATAGAGGTAAAAACTTAACAATAGAAAATACATTTGGGGGGGGGTTCAATAATCAAATAGTAGATCTTATTCTGATCGCCTCCGCTAAAAACCTTGATCTGCTAAAGTACACAGTAGCAATGGCTGAGCAACCCGGAATGGATAATAATAAACTAAAATATTTATAAATACAGTGGTATCTCGGGTTAAATACTTAATTCATAAAGGTAAAAGGACCCCTGACCATTAGGTCCAGTCGTGGCCGACTCTAGGGTTGCAGCGCTCATCTCGCTTTACTGGCCGAGTGAGCCGGCGTACAGCTTCCAGGTCATGTGAACATGACTAAGCCGCTTCTGGCGAACCAGAGCAGCACACAGAAACGCCGTTTACCTTCCCGCTGGAGCGGTACCTATCTATCTACTTGCACTTTGATGTGCTTTCGAACTGCTAGGTTGGCAGGAGCAGGGACCGAGCAACGGGAGCTCACCCCTTCGCCTAGGCTCTGTGGTTTAACCAACAGCGCTACCTGCGTCCCTATTAGAGGAGTAATAACCTCAAATCTTTATGAATAATACGAGCCTACTGATGTGTTCTGTACATGCTCAGTGGCACCAGGACGGTAAGCACTCTTTGCTGGGCTAAGCAAACCCAGGCAAGGCGGCTTTTCCCCCCCAAAGGCATCATCCAGCCTGAGGAAGAATGGAACAACCCCGGCGAAAGGGGTTGGGGGGGACATCAGGAAAAAACGTTCTGACAGCAGGAGCTGTTTGCTTGAGCTGAGATTCCGGCATTGCAGGGGGGTTGGGATAGATGACCCTTGGGGTCCCTTCTGACTGCGGTTCTATGATACAGCTGATGGAGAAATGCCTCTTCCGAAATAGCTTTTGACAAGCTGTGGTGAGTGAGCTTACTCCATACTGCCACTAATGGAGGGCATCGCTTTGTTTTTTTAAAAAGTGGGTCCCTCCGTAATTGGATCATATCATTGTGGAGTCGGAAGGGATCCCAAGGGTGATCAAGTCCCTAGAATACAGGAATCTCAGGACAGAGTTGCCACATCCAATTTGAAACTATGCCTTTTCTGAAACAGCATTTGACATGTTTTTTCCGCCCTCGTCTCTCTCTTTCCTTTATCCTTTGTCTAAAATCCAGCCTGAGGAAAAGTTCTGTGAAACTCAAAAGTTTGCCTCTGGTTTGATATCTTTTAAAAGATTGCTGGTGGCTGCCAGCATTTGTGTCTCTGTGTGTGTGTATACGAAGTGCATGGGTAGGCAAACTAAGGGCCAGATCCAGTCCAGTTGCCTTCTAAATCCAGCTGGTGGACGGTCCGGGAATCTGTGTTTTTACATGAGTAGAATGTATGTTTTTATTTAAAATGCATCTCTGGGTTATTTGTGGGGCATAGGTATTCGTTCATATTTCCCCCCAAAATATAGTCCGGTTCCCCACAAGGTCTGAGGGACAGTGGACCGGCCCCCTGCTGAAAAAGTTTGCTGACCCCTGATTTGACCATTGTGACCAGTATCTACTGGTAGCTTCTTCCATTAAACTGTATAGCCCATTTCAAAGCCTCCACTTAGGGATGCAAATTCCATAGTTTAAACCACTCGCTGTTTAAAAATGCCTTTCATTCTGTCTGCCCCGAAATTCCTACTATAGTCATACCTTGGTTTTTGAATAGCTTAGTTCCCGAACGTTTTGGCTCCCGAACGCTGCAAACCAGGAAGTGACTGCTCTGGTTTGCGAACTATTTTTGGAAGCCGAACATCCGACGGGGCTTGCGATTGGTTGCAGGAGCTTCCTGCAGCCAATCAGAAACCGCGCTTTGGTTTCCGAACCTTTTGGAAGTCAAACGGATTCCGTTTGACTTCCAAGGTACTTGGAAGTATTTAGCTTCATTGGACAACAAGGTTGTGCCTGTTGGTTTTAGGAGAAATATGGATTGGGCAAGAGATGTGGGACATAATATAATGTTTGAAGATTGGGAAAGGTTGTGGAGGAAAGGAGTCAAGTTCACTGCATGTACGGTGTTAAAGGAAAATATTATGAAAACGATGTATAGATGGTACTTAACCCCTGTAAAATTAGCAAAGATATATCATAACAGTGATAATCTATACTGGAAATGTAAAGAAAAAGAGGGTACCTTTTATCATATGTGGTGGACCTGCCCCAAGGTCACCAAATAGAACTTCTGGGAGAAGATTTATAATGAATTGAAAAAAACGTTGAAATATACATTTATTAAGAAACCAGAGGCCTTTCTTCTTGGAATAACAGGTATGGAATTGCCCAAAAAAGATGTTAAGATTGTTTTTGTATGCCACAACTGCAGCTAGAATTTTGTTAGCCAAGAATTGGAAATCACAAGAAGTCCCAACAGTAGAGGAATGGCAGATGAAGATGATGGACTTTTCGGAGCTAGCCGACCTAACCGGAAGAGTCCGCGACCAGAAGGAGGAGGAATATCAGGAAGAATGGAATAAATTTAATGATTATTTAGTTAAATTTGTTAAGTTAAATTAACCGGAAATAGCTTGCAGATACTTAATAGGCTTAGGATTTTATTTATGTTAAGTGATATGTTTAATTATATAAGGTGAAGATTTAAGGATGTTAATGTTTAAGTTAAATTTCATAAAAATTGGGATTTGGAAAACCGTTAAAAGGACATGCAATGAAATTCAACCAAGGGGAAGCGAGGAAGTCACTTAACAAAGTTAATAACTGTAATTTTCAATAAGGCTATGATTTATGTTTGTTATGTTTGTTTGTCTTGTTTGTTTGTTTGTTTGTTTATAATATTGTAAAAACCAATAAAAAAAATAGGGGGGGAGTAAGGTAAGCATTGTGAATTGGGGACAGCTTAAAGGAGAAACCCAGTTCCTTCTCATCTTGTATTATTCAGCTAAGTGGAATCCTTTACGTTACCAAAAGCAGGGTTATTTGATCACAAGCTGTGCTTTAAAGCTGCTGTTAATATGAACACTTACAAGTAAATGATTCATTTTTAAAGTCATAAAAACGTGTGGCAAAGTGCAAACGATAGCTTTTTATAAATGTAGTTGTAAAAATATGGAAAGATTTACACCATAATTACAAAGGGACCTTAATGATCTTCTCTGTATCGTTCTGTTTTTAAGCTTCTGTGAGCACACAAAATTCAGGGTTTAGGTAAATACGACCCAAGGTTCTTGGACCATAAAAGCTAATTTGCCTGCGTGTCTACCTCAACTATTCAGTAACGTAAAGGCAGCAAACTGCAAATACAAAAATACGTATGCAGCAGTGCATGCTGTGAAATCTATTCTAACAAAGAAATTGGGCTGAAGCCCATTACACCTTTTCAAATACTTAGACAGCAATGCATTCTGGGAAGCAAAAACTTACTTTTGCATAAATAAGTCTGAGGGTTTTGATACCTTTTTTTGCTGTCTTCCCCAGCGCCAATCCTATCATTAGAGTGAGGCGGCAACTGATTTGGGTGGTCATGAAGGGGGAACTGTAATTATTATTCACAGCTGTAGTTTGAAGTAATTGAAGTTTCTGAACAGTCTTCAGAGATGGCCCCATGTACAATGCATTGCAATAATCTCATCTGGATGTTACCAGGGCATGACAGGCTATTCTTCTTCAAGGACGGTCACAGCTGGCCTTCTGCGTCACTGAAACCAGTTAGGTCTCCAGTTAACAAATGGCTCCAAGGAAGGCAGAGTGCTTGTAAGCTCTTCACCTTACTTACCCGACTCTGGAATGCTATTGGACAGGCTCTGGGAGGTTCTTACACGATCTTGTGGGACTGTCTGAGTTCCTGTGAGATCTCGTAAGACCCTCCCCAAGCTTAGTAATCAAGTCTGTTTTTTAAAAAAAATAATATTTATTGCTTTTACAACAATTTAAACACTTACAAAAGAAGAAAAAAGAAAAAAACTACATTATAATACACAAACACTACATAAAAATTAACAAAACAAAACAAAAACAATTTAAAAACACATCAAAAGATAGAAGAAGAAAAAAGGAAAAACTTCCAATATCTTATCTTTCTTTCCCATATTTCCACGGCCTCCTCACACCTCCCTTTTTGTATTCCACTTCTATTAATTATTTCAGCAATTCCTTACCATCTTCCCCTGTTTTCTATCCTTAATTATCTTAACACCTTTTAACCTTATTTTCCTTTAATACCTTATTTTCCTTTAATACTCAAGTCTGTGGGTTTAAAAACTCTTCACACACTAGGAAAACCCATTGCAAAAGAGACTTTGAGGTTCTCTGCCTTGCATGCAATTCATTTGCAGGATTTCAACCAGCCAGCTTTCAGCTGCTACAAGATGCAATCGTACGCACTCCGTC